ACGAATTGTCCTTTGGGGTTGCGTGTTGGAGTGGATTATACGAAGAGAAAAGGAATGGGTGGTGGGCAGGAAACACCCGGAGAAGTTTGTAACTTTGTGTAGCTTTACTCTGCTATCATAACAGAGAGTCCCAATGCTGATACGGTACCCTCTTAAGGCCATGCCTACTCTATCCTCCATTCCAAATTTCATATTTGGCTTCAATCCAACCTCTTTCACCTTGCTGCAATGAATTCACCTACATACATGTCAATTCACATGTTCATCTTCAATGTACCGGAATATCGTGGTTAACTTAACAAGCGAAATGTTGAAATCATGCATCCGTGGATGCGGTGACTGGTTCAAATCGTAGTATATTCGTAGTGTCGTGTTGTGCGTGCTTTTCTCTTTTTCCTGTTTCCGTTTTTATCCTGTTCAATTTTAAACCAACTTGCTTATCCGTTGAGCACGATTGATGTGGAAGTTATATCTTCTTTATTCATGAAAAGAACAAGATATAAGAACCCTTTTGGACATTCCAATTATCTTGAGTGGTTTACATGTTGAAAAACTTGATTGTGTTGAACAAACGCAGTTTGAAAATTTCCTTTGCCTCTTTCGCAAGTGGTTAATTCTCTCTCTCTCTCTAGTCTAGCCATCATCTCCAATGTCAATTTTCAAAGGCCAATAATGGAGAAATGGGACACTCAGCCTTTGTTTGGTTGGAGTGATTTGAGAGAGTGAAATTGAGAGAGTGGAAAAGGAGGAATTTGAAGAGAAATGGAGATGATTGAAAAGTGAAAGGAAAGTTTATGGGAAATTATGAATGATTTGATTGATATGAGATATAAAAATTATAATATGATGTTGATTATTTAAGAAAATTACAATTTTATCCTTTGTATAAAATAAGGTTCAAATGATTATAAATATAATTTTTTAATTAATTATCCATATTTTAACATTGATTATATATTTAAAAGAAAAAATAAATTTAAAAGTGTTTGTAATTAGAAACAAATTTAAAAAATTAACTTTTTTTAGATAGTTATTAAAAATTATATAAATAAACAATTACAAAATTATGTACATTGCATATCCATATTCAAATAATGTTGACATATTAAATAAATTATTTGACTACTAATTAAATAATTATAAAATATAAAATAATAATTAATATTGACTAATAATAACAAATAATTATGAAAACTAATAATATAATTGTACATTATTATTTAAAACAAATATAAAATACAATTGAAAATAGAATAATAATTAAAGGAAAGATTACTAAAATTATAAATCTATGCACACTAATGCTCTTCAAACAAATAATTATCATGTTATCCATCTTTTGCGATCAAGTCCTCCAGGTTCAGATCATTCAATCACCTCCATTAAAGAACATGAACAACTGGGAGAGACGAAGATGTGAGGGCAAGCCAAAAAGTCGTCTAACATGTGATGGGTGAGTACACAAATGATTATAACACTTGAAGCATAAGTTGCTCGTCATTTAGGTTCATGCTGACTAACATGTCCCATATATCGACTCCGAATGTTGAAATGTTGATGATCGTCTCATCACATTAACTTGCTCATTAATTAATTCATTTCTGCGTTCAATGGCGACCAACTGTCTTTCAGCTATGTCGGATAATCGTTGGGTGATTGTATTACCTTGCCCGAGGTAATCCGTAAATGTGTCCGACCTCGTTGTTAGTTTGTCAAATTGACTTTTCATCACATCAACCATAGGCGCTTTTCTTTTTGTGCCCCGCGATGAAGAGGTTCCACCTGAACCAGTAGACGCAGCAGATGGAATTGAGTGAGCACCCTCAGCAAGACTGTCGGAACCCATGCGTGGAGGTGATCGATAAGCTGTATCAAATCCTCCTTCAAAGCCAAAGTGAAATGGCTGCTCCTCTGGTGTAGGGTCCACATCAACGTTCAAGTCGACTGTTGCCCTTCGAGAACTGATATTCATTCGGGCCTGACGCGAAGTTCTTGCCATATGTCCACTGGCTCGATCAGCACCCCACAATTCTTCCATCAAATCATAATGTCTTATAGTTGCCAGTTTCCATTTAGCTGCAGAAGGCTTCGCCTACAAAATAATGACAATGGTTAACACTCGTAATTGTTATGTTTTGCTATATCAACAAATGATAATTCATATAATAGTACCTTAATTAGGTCATCCCATACTTCTTCCTCAGCCACAAACCGTTTTGTCATATCATCCCAAGCGAATCCACTAAGTCCATGAAACAAATCGTGGACCTCCCGCCATCTATCCTTAAGACTTTTTTGTCGATTTTTAACATTATTTTTAGTTATACCAATTAATCCAGAGTGTCTTAGGGATTCAACTATATTATTATATGCTTGGGTTGTCCAACTACCATCAACCCGATTACCCAACCTTGCCTCATCAAGCATAGTAGTCAACAACCGAAAGTCCATGTCATCAGTCCATTTTATAAACTCGCGCACTACAGGTGACGAATTCGGTGCAATATCCTTTCCTCTGTTCATTTTAAACCTATTGGAAAGATAATATATGTAATTACGATACCAACATATAATTATTATAAATAGTTTTAACAATGTTTTAACAATAGTTTTAATATATGTAATTACGATACCAATATCCTTTACCTTTTTTCACTACATGAAGCTCCTTCACTCAATTTGCAAAATGCCTTAAAAATAGTTTTAAACAAATCAAACAAAAGCATTTTGACAAAGAACTTTCTTAACAATGTTTTTAACTGATATAGTTTTAAAAGAAACAATTAAAATCACTTAGAATACGTAAAGGAGTGTTTTTACGGTATTTTAATCGATACAAACTTCTTTTAATCGATTAAAACCCTTTTATGACCGATTAGAATTCGAATATGACATGTCAGAATGAAATATAATCGATCAGACTTTAAAAATGAGCGATCAGATTTATTTTAATCGATTAAAACACGTTTTAATCGATTAAAACCACTTTGGAAGTCAGGATGATCGATCAGAATGAAATTATGACCGATCAGAGTTGGTTATGATCGATCATAATTTAATTATGACCGATCAGACATATTTCAATCGATTAAAACGAACTTTCAATCGATTAAAAAGACTTGAAAAGTTATGTACAGATTTTCAATCGATTAAAACGACTTTATATCAGCTAAAATAACTTAGGAAAGTTTTATATGAAGGTTTTTAAGCAAATCAATCGATTAAAACGCGAATCAATCGATTGAATCACTCTCAGAAAATGTTTGTAAAATGTTTTAACTGATATAAACATGGTTGTATCAACTAAAACCATTCTGTTAAAGAAACAAGAACGCATTAATGGGTTGAAAGGACTTTTAACAGATTATAACGGCTATTTCAACAGATTAAAACAAACTTTCAACAGATTAATTAATGCAGCAGATTTGAAAATTCTCTTTAAAAACAGTTGTGCTTGAAACTTTTAAACATAGATTGAACAGCAGTTTTTACACATCCAAAGCAATCAATTCAAGCAACTATTAAGCAATCAATTCAAGCAACTATTATCAGATTTGATAATCTATCCACATTTGATTTGCTATAGTATCTCTTAAGTTTGATTTACTAATCCAGTTGTCCTTACTCGTTGACACAAGTTAATGAACGCCTCCCGTCCCATGCGAATATATAATACAATAACTTTCCCTATCGGCTGTAACTAGAGAAGAAAGAATAAGTCCTGTAACTTCTATCACCTGTGAACACGTGAAGTTGGCTGTACAGCCCGTGACCACTGCATGTACAGCCCGTGACTTCTGTTCATGACTTACCTCTTTCTGTCGTGTTTAGAATATATAATTTGTCAAATGATCAAGATTTTAGATAACGGTTCCAGTAATAACCACTATTACAAATATATATAAGATAGCGGTTAAACTGGACCGCTATTATATATAGACTTTTAAGAGCGGTTACAAAGATAACCGCTCTTAAAAGTAACCTCTGATAGCGGTTATATGTTAACCGCTATCTCAAGTTTTCAAATGATCGATTATTTTGCCAAAATGATCGATCACTTTTCCAAAACCTCGACACTTAAGATAGCGGTTATGGTTTAACCGCTATTACAAGTTGTATTTCGCTTGAGCGACATTAAACTCGCTCGAGCGAAGACACATGCACATAATTTTCATTCTCGAGTTGTTTTTCGCTTGAGCGAAACTTATGTCGCTCGAGCGACATCCACATTTTTCGACTATGATCGACTACATTTTAAAATTATCGATCATATCTGAAAATATATAATAGCGGTTAAGATTTAACTGCTATTAGAATTGCTATATAATAGCGGTTTAGTTTTAACCGCTATTATAAGTGATATATAATAGCGGTTATGTTTTAATCGCTATTATAAGTGCTATTATAATAGCGGTTAAGATTTAACCGCTATCATATGGAAGAGGATAACTTGGACATTTCATTATCTCCAGCACACTTTCGTCTCTTTTCTTCGCAGATTAGCGAAGAAAGTCTCTCTCCCCTCTTCCCCTTTTCCTCGCCTGCATTTCTTCGCAAATCTATTCAACCAAATGTGGATGAATCTCGTGCTTTTGTCTTCGTCAACAGTATTTCGTCGCAAATCAGTTCAAAGAAACACAGCATCAAGGAGAAGGGATTTGCAGGAGGAAGAAAACAAGATAACGAAAAGGACAAAGCAAGAAACAAATAAGAAAGCGATCGAATTAGTTGCCTCTATTCGACACTAATCATGTTATACATATCAGACACACCAGACAGAATAAATGTTCATTATGTAATTTTTTTTCATTCGGTATTGGAAAAGTTTTAGCAAGTTTAAAAAGATGTATTTTCAAAGGGTTGTCAATTAATATTTTTGTCATTTTTAATATATTAAGTGAAGTTGCAAAATAAAAAATCATAGAAAAAGAAGGGACTTATCTTTGTGATTTGTATAACAGCCATGGGCATTTTGGAACATATTCCTTCGGGAAAATGAAATGTCATCAAGTTTCCTCCTTCATATACACAACAATGTCACGTGTCACCCACTAATCCGCAATCCAACAGTTTGTGGGACCCACGCTGTACGGGGGAACCTTATCTCTAGGAGAATCCAGATCCAAAAGCCACGTCATGTGCGCCCACGTGCTACCCCATGGAATCGACGGCGCAGATTTCTTCCCAAGACCATGACTTGTTGGTCCTTTAACGCTTCGCCGTCGTTAAATATTCCTCTCATGCTGCATAATTCCGGAACCCCTAAGACACGCCACCCTCTTCTTCTCATGGGCCTCCTCGATCACTTGTGGGATTTAACTGTCGCCGGCCCTCCGCCGGAGAACGGCCTCGGCAAGCTCCGAAAGCACCACACCTTCGCTTTCCGATCTGCCACCGGCAAGGGTACGCATGCACGCCCGTCGATTCCGCTTCAGCTTCCCCAATTAATTTTAGTTATTCAAGAAAAACAAAATAACGAGAACAGCAACGAGAACTAACAGTGAAATAATTCTATAACCTCACGCGCTAATACTTTACCTCACGTGTTTTGAATCTCATAACTATTACGCAAGATCTGTTAATTCTTAACTTAATAAAAATGAAATATCTGCGTATATTCTAACGGGAAAGCGTTGTCGTTGTGTGATTTTGGCTTTGGTGATCAGAATCAGACGGCGGAAGCGTGAAATCATACGGCGAGGATTCGCCGGAAGATGCGGTGAGAGTTACACGTAGTATCATGATCGTGAAACCACCTGGATACCAGAGTCAGAATGGATCTGCGCCGGCTTCCCCCGCCGGTTCTACTCCTCCGGTGTCTCCGTTTGCCGGTAAGGTCGTACTTTACTTTATCTCTTATTACATGAAATACGAATTAGACCTTGTCTTTGGTTATGCCTCCTGGGAAAGTGGAGTGACACTGTGAGAGTGTGACTGAGGCGGTTGCTCTAGATTTTTGTAAAAGGGTAATTCCGTCATTCAAACGGGGTTTCTCTTTCCTTTCCACGCATAATCATCAATGTTCTTATCCATATCTGAAGGTAAACGTAGTACTACACATAAAATAATAAATTATAATAAAGGGGACAGGTGATCCGGTTGAAAAAGTGAGATCAGAATTAAGTTGATAATGTAATTCGAGGTGTAAAACAGGTTAGGTTAGTAGTACTATTTGAACGTTGTACATTGATACTTTTTATTTCTTGTTTTTAAATTTACTGTGATTGAGACGTACAACAAAATATATTAAGTAATAGTAATATACGTACAAGTGAAGGAGTGATTCGTATGAGAGTGAATGCATCTTTAAACGCTATATCAAGAAAAATCTGGAAAAACGTCTGCAATTTGTTCTGGTCATTAACCGCTAATATGGTCGCAATATGACGGATCTTTTTTTCTTTTTCTTCCATCCATGTTTTCATGAAGGGGAACCTTTTCTAATTTAGATGATCAAGACTTTGTCGAGATCATGTATATGGTGAAATTTTGTGATCCTATGAAGAATATAGCACGAGCACGATATACTTATTATACGTGCATGTGTGGTACTGATGTAGGAGCCAGAGAGTCCTTCCGCTTTCGAAGAAGGTCAACATCGGATGCGTTCGAGAAGACTGGCCAGAATAGACCAAGCTCTTCTTCTCCTTTCGATGTGTGAGAAATGACCACCCTCGTCACTCTCCTCCATGGATGACTAAGAAAAGGGAAATATAGTGTTTTTTTTGTACTGCTTTTGCTCATGTTTATCCATTTTTGTTTACCTTTTGTGCATATATAATATGTTTATGAGTTCATCTGTTGAGCGGTTGAAATCCTGGAATGATGTGAGGTTGCTGTGTGTGGTTTAACAGCTCAGTCTTAGTTTGTTTACTGTTAGATAGTTATGCTTATGGTTATGTTTAGTAAGCTGTAAATATGTAATTACGTAGTATGGGCTTGCTTGTGTTACGTGTACTGTGTATATAAAGCTTTTTCCTGATTTGTGCAATTAGTGAAACTCTAAGCTATTTTCTGGGTAATTCTTTTACATGTATATTTTTTATCCCTTTCCTTACTATGATGGGTACATCTGAGAAATGAGGTATCTACCATGAACATTTTCTGTCATTGGTTTCATCGAGGATAGAGAGATGAACATAAAACCTAAAAAGTTGAGAAGGGTCCAATATGGAAAGCAAGTCTGTCTGTCTTTAAGGATGGCGTATGAGTGTTGTGGAGAGGACACTTATTGATGGGGGCCTTGTCTTCAACGATGACTTCGAAAGGGACACTTCGTAATGGGGCTTGCTTGGCCCACGGATATCTTTAATATATTACATGTCTTTATGTCTCAATTCTCTTTTCTAAGCAACACATTTAAACAAGGTTTATTTTATAACTCAAAACGTGGTTTATATTTTGCAAACCATATTATTCTCCTTTTACATCCTGGATGAGCACAAAATTAAAAAAATTTCTAAACCAATCGATTACATGAACTTAAAATTCATGTTTTGATAGAGCAATCGATACTTGATTTCTTTCGCAATAAACAAATAAGAGCAGACTATGTTAACGGAAGTTGCTGGAATCTTCAGCTATGTTAATGGAAGTTGCTGGAATCTTTAGCTTATTTTATTATTTATAAAAATAGTCATTATATAGAATAATTGTCACAGAATTACAATCAAATAAAATAAATTCTAACAAATCAATAAAACTAACAAATTATTTGTTATTATATTAACAATAATATTAAATCAGATAAATTTTTTCTTAATACTTCTCCCTTGGAGCATGAAGGAGGAAATATCCAATTTGAACATTAAAAATTGAAACTGTTTTTTACCAAGAGCTTTTGTTAGAATATCTGCAGGTTGGGAATCAGTTTGAGTATCGTGTGGAAATAATTTTGAACATCACATGTTCTCGAACAAAATGATAATCGAGTTCAATGTATTTTGTCTGTTTATGAAAAATTGGATTAGAAGCAATATGAATAACAGATTGATTGTCACAATATAGGGTCATTGGCATGGAACGAGAGATACTAAAATTTTGCAGAAAAGCTTTGATAGTTTAGCAGAAAAGCTTTGATAGTTCAGAAGTGGCAGCTACCATGGAACGATACTCGGTTGCAGCAGAGGAACTAGAAACTATGTGTTGCTTCTTAAATTTCCATGAAATAGGTGATTGACCGAGTGTGATAAAGTAGTCAGTGATAGATCGTCAAGAAATAGGACAACTTGTCCAATCAGAATCACAATATGCACGAAAATGAAGATCACAAGTGGAACGGATAAATAGTCCTTGACCTGGATTACCCTTGATATAACGCAAGACTCGCAACACTGCATTATAATGTTCTTGGAGCGGAGGTTGAAGAAATTGAGAGAGTGTATGTACAACTTAACTCAGGTCGAGTTATTGCAAGATAAAGAAGGCGACCTACAAGACATCGATAATGTGTGGGATCATCGTAAGTTGGTCTATCTGCAAGGGCCAATTTATGATTCTGATCCATGGGAAAATCAGATGATTTACACTAAGATATCTATAGCAAATTTGCGTTGACTTAGAAATATACCAGAGGAGCTACAAGCAAATTCAATACCGAGAAAATATTTAAGTTTGTCAAGATCCTTGATTTTGAAACAAGAGCTAAGATGAATCTTAACTTGATCACAAACAGATTTATTGTTTCCAGCCAAAAGGATATCATCAACATATATAAGAACTGCAACGAAATCCTGATCTCTTGTGAAAGTGAACAACGTGTAATCAGCTTTGGATTGATGAAATCCAAATTTAAGAAGAAAAGTGCGACAGCTAAAGAAAGAAAAACATTATGAACATCCAATTGATAAATATCCCATCCCTTTGCAACAACTACATAAAGAAAAGTGCATACACTCACCATTTTTGCTGCAACAGGAGCAAAGGTTTCATTATAATCTTCTCCTTCAATCTAGTTATTACCTGCAATAACTAATCTAGCTTTGTATATTTCTATGGAGCCATCAGAATGATACTTGATTCGAAAAATCTACTTACAAGGAATTGCTTTCTTTCCTGGAGGGAGAGAAGTGACAACCCAAGTGTGGTTATCCTCAAGAGCCTGAATTTCAAGTTTCATAGCTTGTTACCAAAGTGGATCTTTCATGGCTTCTTTAAACGAACGTGGCTCAACGGTGTTACTAACAGCCGCTAAGAATTTTTGGTGTTCTGAGGAAAAATTATGATTAGTAATAAAGTGCTCAATAGGATAAAGGATATTTGAGGGAACACTAGATAAAGTGTTGGCAGAAGAGGGTGTAGTAGCATTGCGGCAATAATAATCTTTAAGATGTGCCGGAGGTCGATGAGATCTACTTGTACGTCGAAGAGGCATGGAAGATGAAGATGAAGTATCAACAGAACTCCCCCTTTCAACAGACTTTGGATCATGTAAAGGTGCAATATCTGAAGAGGAAGTATGAGTATCATGTGATTCATACAAAATCATAGATGTGGAAGTAGGATGTATGGGAGCTGGAGGAATGTTTGTGGTAGGTGATGCAAATGGAAATTAATCTTCAAAAAATTTAACATCACGAGAGACAAAAATCTCCTTTGTATCTAAATTAAACACCTTCCAACCTTTTTTGTTAGATGAATAGCCAACAAAAACACATTTTTGTGAGCGTGCAACAAACTTATCAACCGGTTTAGGCAAAACTGTAGCATAACACAAATAACCAAGGACCCTAATATGGTCATAACTGGGTGGAGTATCATGAAGTATTTCATAGGGACATTTTCCATTGAGCAATTTACTGGGAGTTCGGTTAATCAAATGAGTCACTGATAGAATACATTCACCCCACAAATCAATAGGAAGATGTCCATCAAACCGCAAGACACAAGCCACATTAAGAATATGACGATGACGTCGTTTGACTCTACCAATCTGTTGTGGCGTATATGTACATGATAATTTTTTAATAATGCCACGGTTTTCAAAGAAAGAACGCAGATGGGTAGAAACAAATTCAGTCCCATTATCAGTTTGAACCCTTTTAACCATGGAATTAAATTGAGTTTGCACCATTGTAATAAATTTTATTATCGTAGAACATGCCTCATGCTTGTCACGTAAAAGATAGACCCATACATGACGCCTGAAATCATCCAAAATAGTTAAAAAGTAATGAGCACCAGATGCGAAAACAGTTCTATATGGTCCACATAAATCACAATGGATTAAATCAAAGGAGTGCAAACTATGCTTTTTATTGATAGGGAATGAATAACATGTTTGTTTGGCTCTACAACACACATCGCAGGAAACTATTTTATTTGAACTAGAAACAAATGGTAGAAAATCCAAATAATGTTGAGAAGGATGTCCAAAGCGTCGATGTCACAAATTGAAAGAAGAGGAACCATGAGTAGCATTTGCAGAAAAATGATTGGCAAAGTACATACACCCCTTCATGCTCAACACCCTATCCAATCATTCTCCTCGTCTGTAGGTCCTGTAGAAAACAATTAGAATTATTAAATATAACCATGCAGTCATTGGAGCATAGTATTTGAGAGATAGAAAAAGTTACACGTAAAAGATGGCACGTAGAGAACATTGGTAAGTAGCAACAGAGATGTAAGCCTAACATCCCCACATTGAATTGCGAGAGTACGATCACCATTTGGTAAGCCTATTGAACAAGGAGGGATGGTGCGTATATTAGAGAGAAGAGAGACAGTCCCAGTCATATGTTGGGAAGCCCCACTGTCAAGAAGCCAAGAGTGTTTGGAAGATACTGTACCATATAATTTTTCAGTGGGCGTTTTGGAGGAAACAACAATTGACATCAGTCGTTGAAGCATTTCAAGAGTAAAATCAGTAATTGATAAAGGTTTGGAGGGGTCACTATCATCGGAAGATGCACCAGATTGAGTGGCATGAGCAGAAGCGAAAGCAGAGCGTCCTGTCAAAGTGCGACCACATCCACAGTCGCGACTAACAGGAGGGCGATTTGGGTAGTCATGGAGTTTGTAACAGCGAGAAACATCATGATTAGGTTGTCCACAATGAGTACATGTAACGCGTGGCTTGGATGTATTTGTAGGTGTATTAGTGGTGGCGGCATGACCTAACGCATCTACAAGGTTCTTAGAAGAACGAACAATAGCTTTATGTGATTCTTCTTGAGTAACCATAGCAAAAACACTATTAACGGTAGGAAGTGGATTGCTGTTGAGAATTTGAGTGATAAGTGTGCCATAAACAGCATGATCGAGACCCATAAGGAATTGATATACTCGATCGTGTTCCTATTCAACAACAATTGATTTTCTAAAAACACAATTATCACCGGTAGTGCACGCGTCAAACATTTGACTGGACTCCAGTTCATCCCAAATGGACCGAAGCTTTGTGTAATACTCTGTAATAGTTTCACCATTTTGTTTCATGGTTGCGAGAGAAGCTTTAAAATGAAATATATGGGGAATATTGGCAACAACAAATCGTTCCTTGAGATCATCCCATAGACCTTTTACAGTTTCAAAACACTTTATGTATGACTGTAACTCAGGGTTTATAGTAGTGTGAATCCAACTATTAATTATGGAATTGTAAAGGACCAAGCATATGCTTCATGAGAAGCTTTATCAGTAGGAGCGATCACATTGCTG